TTTCTCAGCTTTGCCAGGCAGATCCTGGGAGACCTGGAGAACATCAGAACCTCACTGGGGCTCTGGCCCCGCGTTCCTCATCCGCACCACGGCCTTGGCAGCGTCCGAGCCGTCACCTCCCGGCGCAGCTCCGCTCCACAGAGGCCTGCAGCCCAGCAGGAGTTCCTCGTGACTTGGACTTTTTCCCTTTTCTTTTTTTTTCCCACACAGGTTAAAACAGATTGAAATAGCCCTTGGTAAAAATAAAGTGCGCTCAGTTTAGCCTTCCTTCCCTCCTTCCCCCGCCTCCCATTTCCTGGAGTACTTGTAACAGGCAGCTGGTTGGGAGGTTTTTCCCCAGGGGCTTTGTCTGTTATTTATAAAGCTTTCATGAAAACTGAAGGAAAAAAAAACAAAAAAGAAAACCATTCAACTTCCAGGTGACCCCTCTTCTCCCTGTGCAGCAGTCCTGAGCAGCAAGGCATCAGGATGGCCTCAGGTTCAGGAACCACCTCCAAAGACCATTGGACTCAGTGGGCAGGTGCCCTTTGCCTTCCCAGGACTTTCCCTCCAGCTTCTCCCAGTGCTCCCAAGGGATGTAGCACTGAGGGATGCTTTGTTTAAGCTTACTACTATAGAAGAAAAAGGACACAAAAGTCCACCTTTCAGCAGCACCATCTTATCAGGAGGCCATGATGATGCCTGGAGGACTTTCCAAAGGCCGTTACCAGAAGACTTTGGTGGACTCGGGCTTCTGTCCTGTCCTGCTATTAGGGCAAAACAGAGAAAAAATAACATCCCATAAACCTGCCTCCTGAACGCTGCGCTGCCTGGAGGAGAGCAGGGCTGCTCCCGCAGCACATAAAGCCAACGCAGCATTTAGTGCCTGCTGATTATAACCAAAACCCTGGTTAATACAAACACAAGTGAAAAGAAACTCTGGGGTTAAACCATAAACTAGCAGCGGGGAAAAAGTGCTAGGGCAGAGTGCCAACTGCCTTCCCCTTTACAGGTCTCCTTTCCAGCAGGAGAGTGAGGACAAACACAGAAAAACAGCAGCCGCTTGCGGCAGCGCTTCCCTCCGCGCGTTCCTGTCCGCAGGGCCGGGGCCTCCATTCCCGCCGGGAGCGGCTCCGGGGCCGGATCCAGCCGAGCGGGGCTCTCCTGCGGGAACACTGCGGATGGGAGCGCCCGTCGCCTGCATGGGCCTATACGTGTGTGTGCCTATCCTGGCGTGCATACGTCACATATACATTGAGATCAATAATATTTGGAAAGCCAGCATTTCGTTTTAAGAGCCGTTCTGTGACAACAAGTTAATTATCTATCATATCATCTCTGAAACCCAAACATTTTGAAAGCTAGGAAATAACTAATTAAGAACACCATAAATCTTACTCTGTCTCACAAGCCCATTTTCGTAAGAAATAGGAAGAAATACATATTTCATCACAATGCAACATCCTTAACTCTGACCTATAAGATATTAATGACTAGTTCATGCAGTTTCATTATCTAAACACTTTCTTGCAAAGGTAGCACAGGGTAATGGGTCAGTAACACACTCCAGGTCGCCTCACTTACAATAAATATGCAGGTGGAGATAGTTAGGAGGAAAAAAAAAAATCCAACGTTGGGATGCTCTTGTCCAGCACAAGCAACGTCACTTCCTCAAAGACATTTTTCTTTGAATTAGCACGAAACTTGAAGAGGAAGGTAACGAGCAACTCCCAGTGGAAGCTTCCCACCCTCTTCTTCCTCCAGGGCTGCCATCCTTGGAGCAGAGGCACACACATCCTTGGAGCAGAGGCACCACATCCTTGGTGCAGACAGCAAGTGCTGCCACCCCGGGGACTGTGAGGAGAGCCCAAGGGGGCATGAGGCTCCCATGGCACCCAGTCCTTCACCCGCTCTTGGGTACCCACCTCTGACACCACGAGCCACGTCTGGGCAAACAGCCTGATGCGGCCGGGAAAGAACGTCAGGTCCACGCTGGATAGAGAAACCTGAATCAGTGGGAAGGTGCACAAAACTAGACCAGAACTACGACATTATTAACACGCTCAGCATCACTGAGGAGCATAAAGACAACAGGGGAGAGGGGTTTTTTTTTTTTTTTTCTGCAGAGAGTGCAAAGAGCAGGTGAGATGATCCAAGGAATGATTGAAGCCTGGAACCATGCAAGCAAAAAGGACTTTTCACCCTAAGCATCAAGACTGTAGAGGTAAAATAGACAGGATGAGGGAGATATCAGCAAAGGAAGATACACCCGGAAATAAGGAATGCAGGGAGAAAATGAAACTTGGCAAGACCCCGGCAGAGGATGCAGAAGCGCAGCAGGAAACAGCTTCACCAGAAAAGAGCAAGGGACAAAGCACCGCTACCCACACTGATGGCAGAGGTTTGGACACAACATCACAAAAAACCCAAATCAATGTTTTGCCTGTGGTTGTAATCCCTGGCAAGTGCAAAGGCAAGGAATGAGCCCGTGGAAATGGCAGTGACCCTTGCCTGATTCTGGGTGCTCCAGAGGGGAGGAAGGCAGCTACTCCTCATCAGCAAGCAGTCAGGCAAACAGTTCTGGGCAGTCCTACTCCTTGATTACGGGGGAAGAAAAACAGCACTTCTYGTCAGCTCTGCCAGCCTGGCAGGCTGATCAAGAGCTTGGAAAGCTTCAGAACAAAATTCAAACATCTGATAATTGAGGATTCAGAAGTTATTACATGGAAGATGAACTGAAATGCAAAATGGCCCTAGCAAACTTAGATTTCAGTGGATAAATTCCCAGACCAGCTTCCTAGATGAATCACAAGAGGTTCAGMTGGAGAAGGCTTTCCTAAACAGTGCTCCCAAGGGAAACAGCCCATTGTGGTGGTTAGAACAAGGCTRGCACCGTGAATTGAGAGAGGGAGGCAGAGCAGGGTGTAAGAGASGAACGGAGAGATGCCCTGCAAGGGAGCTCTGCCCGTGCCCTGGCGCTGCCGGGGTTCAGGAGCCACCTCACACAGGGACAGCCCCAAGGGAAGGAGCAGAGAAGCCGCAGCATGGGGCAAAGGAGGCCAAAGCCTCCCCAGATGCAGAAGCATCTCCCTTGGCTCACTTCTGGCACGAGGCACCACCTCTGACCCCGCAGCTGCCAAACCCCAGCCCACTTTGGACACCACAAGACGGGGCCACAGCAGGAGCAGGAACACAGGGACAGTGTGTCGGCCTCGTGAGATGCTGATCTCAGCGGGGTTTGRTGCAGTCCAGGCTGGAAATCCCAACAGATCTAAACACGCGGCTACAGGGAGGCTCTTTACTGCTAAAACAGGCCGTGCGTTTGTGAATGCCACTTGCAAGAGAACTTATGCTAAAGGGAAAAAGGTCCTTTTTATACTGGAATTATAATGTCTAGACAGAGCCTTCCTGGTATAACTTCCCATGYAGGCAGGGACTAAGAAATACTTCGGCAAAAAAATCCAGCAGGAGCCATTTGAGAGGTCTTTGATCTCAGGAATGACTTATGCCATGCAATGAAGCCTGCATTAAGGCGGCTCATTACATGGCCCCTAATCCCTGGGAAGCTTCTTGGGTGTTGCAGAGGAAATCGATGGCAAAGATGAGCGTGAGGCCACATCTCCCTCTAGCTGCTGGGGCTGGGGACTAGGCAGCCCTTGGCCACCCGCTGCCCACGGGCGCCCCGCGGCCTCGCACGCAGGCCAGGGCTTCTGGTGCTGAAGGTCCTGGGTGACTTCTGGCCGGCTGCAGGGAGCCTCCAAGGAAGCCAGGCGAGCTAAACTCTTGGAGAAGACACAGGGCAAAAGAGAGGAGAAGAGGTCAGGAGTAAAAGGAACAAGGTTGATGGCCCTTTTTGTGATAAGCCACTATTGATTAATCATCACGGAGACAGCGTGGAGAACGCCAAGGGCTCTCTCCAAAGGAGAAATCACACAGCCGAGACGCAGGGGAGTTATTCCCCTTCTTAGCAGCCCAGCTAAAAGCCCCCCAGATCCCTCCAAGTCCAGTGTCCCCCTCGGATGCACAGCAGGATTCAGGCAGCACTCGCATAGGCACAACCTGCCCCAGCACGCCTCAGTTGGGGGTCCCTCAGGGGACAGTCCTGGGCTCGTAGCCTGCAGACCTCCCACCTGCCCCCCTGCAGGAGCAGCAAGCAGAGGAACCTGATCTGCTCTGGGTGTTTTTTGTTTGTTTGTTTGTTTAAGAGCTTTTTGAAGAATTAGATGGGCCCTGGTTTCGACGAGTGCAATCTGGCAGCTGAAAGGTCACAGATGACCTGGCTGCTGCACTGACATTTCAAAGTCAACATCCTCYTTGCATGTTCAGAGCCTAATTTGGGAAAAAACGTCCGTAAATCTTCGCCTGATGATCCCTTCAACCAGCTTCACTTTCCTAAGCGTGACAAACAAGTGATCTAAAACAAGACTCCATAACGCAGCTGAGCACAACCACAGGGATCCTTTCCTTTCCTCCTATCAAGCACGTTGCACGTCTAGGATCTGACCATCATGCCATCAGGACAGGCTGTAGCAAAGCGGCATCACAGAGCAAACACAACATCAAGCCACCTTCAGACCTCAGAGCCTTTCCTTGCCCCCGAAGGTCCCTTTATGCTGCCAGTGTAACATAAAGATCAAGCACAACTCGGACCCCAGTGCAGAGCACATCTGCTACAAACCTGGCAGGACCAACGCCAGGGAACAGTCATGTACACACAGGCACAAACACACACACGCACACATGCACACAGAGTGTCCACCTTGCAAAATTTCCCCTCAATTTTTGTTACCATGTCATCTATTAATTACCTAATTACATCTTCTAATTATGGGATTCCTCCAGTATTTATACTCATTACATAAATGGTGGCAATTACACTAATTAGGTTAATGATAAAGGATAACAGTCTACAAATTGCTTTAAAGGGCCACTCTCAAGGCACACAGGCCAAAGCRGCTCCCCAACGGGTCAGCCCACGGGTGGGAGCAGACACGCTCGTGCCAGCCTGGCCCCTCACCTCACGTAGCTGCTCTCTCCTCCTATGGCCTCTTCTGATCCTTGAGGCTGCAGTTACTGGCACCAGGGAGGCCTTGCTCTGCTTTGAAAGACAGAGAGCTGCTGCAAAGAGTGAAATCGGGTAGTGACGCTCTGTTGTTTTGTTGCTAGATTGCTTTTCCTGAATTCTGGGCTCCACTAGATAGGTGCGACCCCTCTCCCCGTTAGGAAGGGAAGGAAAGGGTGCAAATGTTTCTTTCCTGGCTATTGGGAGATCCAGGGAGGAGGGAAGCAGAGTCCTCTGGGGCATGAAGCCCAAAGTCTTCAAGTCCTGCTCAGCAGGATGCAGCCCTACTGCTTGCCTGTAGGTTTTGCCAAAATGGAAAGTTTGCAGCAAGGAGAATCTGGCTCCCTCTGCTCTAGCAAGATCCTTTGAGCTCCGATGGCACTTTGCAAAGCAAAGCATGTCCTTGAGGTGAAGGAAAAGCCAGGAGAGGCTGGAAGGAAGCTATTTTGCTGAATGTACTGCTTGCCCAAATTTGCTGGAGAGTGATCAGCACGTGACAATGTTCTTGCCCCTATGTCTCACCCAGAAGGATCCTAAAATAGCAGCAAGCTCCATTACTCTCTGGAGCAGCCCAGCTCACGGGGAAAAAACTTTCTTGCTTCGATTCAAAYGCAGCCACTTCTCTGGTGGAACACGGGAGCTCTTTGCAGCAGTTTAGAGCGTGATGAATGGCCTTTTGTCCTGCAGTCACTAAAGAAAGAGAATGTAATTACCCAAACTGGAATTTGGCCAGGACACAATTTTACGCCGAATGAATTTCCCCCCCCTTAAAGTGTTTGCAAATCCCCCTTTAAAGATAAAAATCCCAGAATAAAATCCAGCCCTTGCTCCAAAATTGGCCCAGTTCCATTATAAGTCAACTGAACAACTCCATTTTACACCTTTAAGGCCGTGGATCTCAGCACGTTGCGCAAGAGATTTTGCTATTGGCAAGGGTGAGGAATGCTGATTTCTGCTACTGAGCTGCTGTCTTAGCCCTAAACTATATCCCCGTGTCAGCTGCCCAAAGACATGTGTAACCAGGTCCGTTTTCTGGAAGATATACAGCTGCGTGCGGCTTTATAGGCTGCTCCAGGAGGACAGGGCTGGCACTTCCACGGGAGCACGCTGACCAGGCTCCACTCTAACAGGCAGGGTCTATGGCTCCAGCGGGAGCCTTGCAGGAGCATATATCGATTGTAAATAATGTCTCAATATCCTATAGTAGGCCATAAATCAAAAAGGGGTTGAAATATCTTCTCTCCCAGGGACCTTTTTTTAAAGGAGTCTATTTCTTGTTGCAGTTTTCTTTTTAGAGTTACTGCATTGACCTTTTAGCCCCAAGTGCCAGGTTCAAAGCAGAGCGGGTGATCCCTGCCCAGCCTTCCCTCGGGATGCACAGGGGCTGTGCGAGGAGTCTGGGCTCCCGGGATCACGTGGAGGGGACATCCACACGTCCCTCCTGGGTTCCAGGGACGACTTTTGTCCTGTGGGTGCCTTACTGCACCAGCCAAACACCGCTGCAGCCCTGTCTCCTCTGGTGGCAGACTATGACCTGAAGAAGATTCCTGGACATAACAGCATTAGAGACACTCATTGTGGAGGTGGGATGCTCAGAGCTGGGGTGCCATTGGGTACAGAGCAGCACCCATCCATGGGGCTGATGTCCATCTGTGGCTGAAGGTACCTACTGCCTTTCAGGCGAGTTATAAAGCCGAGGTCCTGACTGCTGTCATTCCCTGCTAGCACCGTAGCCTCCGTGCTCACGTTCACATGGATGGTGCAGGCGAGTGCTCTGTCTGGTGGTGACCACACAGCCGAGATGCTGGTCACCATCATCTTCGATACCCGAGAACTAAGGGCTCCACAGAAGCTCTGCTAAATCAGGCACTTTCTGGACAGGTCGTACTCACACCATTTTCAGTTCTCCTGCAGCCAGACAGCTGTCCAGAAGATAAAAATAAGCTTTGTGCTGTTCCACAAGTCCTGAAAGTTTAACACTCAACTCAGGCCTCTCTTTCCCTTCCTTCCAAGTAAGGAAAGAAGGGAAAAAAAAAAAAGAAAAAAAAGGAGGAAAAAAAAAAAAGGGAAAAAAGAGAGTCACATCTGCTAGCATCAGCTTTGCTCTGCCAGCCATGCTACTGCCATCAGCCCAGGCTGATGCCCAGGTTTTCGCACTTTGATGGAAACACAGTTAAGTCAGTGAAAACACAGGGAAGTCACCCAGCCCACAGGTAGATGGAGCTTCCAGCCTGCTCCCTCCATGAGCAGTCCTGCAAGAGACACCTCCTCAGAGGCAACTGCTTCCAGACTTTTGGTCTGATTCAGGAGAGCCTTTCTGCCATGTCTCTATAGGGCCCCTGGTGCAATGAGGCTTCAAAGGCAGGGCTTTCGTGTTCCTCACTAATGAATGGCTACGTTGGGAAACCAAAGGGGGGGGCAGATCAGAAAATGACTCATTTGGTAGGAAACATTTGCCAGGAGTGAGGAGAGCTGACCTGAAAGTTAAGGCTCACTGTCCTGCAAAACAGCAGTTCCTCCAATCACTACRTTATATTGCAGTGGAAGAAGAAAAAAAGAGTTTACTTCAGGCCATTTTTTAGGAACATTGAGCAGATAGAACTGAATATTTGCAGAAAGACAGAAAGAAAATTAAATTTACTGAAACATCAAGGCCCCAAACCAAGCCAATGCCGCTGCTTCCCATGTGTCACCAGCTCCTGCACCAGGGGACACGCCACATCCATGGCCACAGGCAGCAGGACACATACAGCTTCCCTTCCAGCACTGCCTTGGTAGCACCACGGCAAGAGCAGCCTCTCCAACTCTAAGGAGAATTTGAGTTTCACCAGCAAAATAATATGATGAAGCGCAGGAAAAGGTGCAACAGGATCCTTTGGGACCAAAATAGGAGCTGTGGTATTTAAAGAAGCCAGGAGGGAATAAAAGGGAAGGAAAAGTAGGAGGGGAGCAGCGTTTACCTGCACAAAAGTGAGAACACTGACAATAACCCAGCTCAGCTCCAGCTCGCACAGGAGACTTCGGAGAAGGGGGTGGGAGGCAAGGTGGGAAATTACCAGGAGCTTATATATATATGTAAAAATTAAAAAAAAAAAAAAAAAAATTGTATCAGCATTGACTAATAATTTCCGGGCTCAGCGCAGATGTCATTAATGACCCTTTTTATTCATGCAGGAGTTCCCAAAGAGGAGCATAATGTTCCATTAGTAATAATTGAGAAAGTCTCCTGTCGGGATTATGTCAAAACCTAGAGATGCTGCTGCTGCCAAAACATTTTGGTGACAAACGTGTGAAGCGTTTGACAGAAGGTGCCACAGCAGGTTGAGGCGGCTTCAGGAGGGGAATCCTAGCAAGAGAGATGAGGTGGGAGACAGCAACAGGGTTAGAGCTGAGCACCGATTTACCTGGGGAACACAGGCTCCTACTTTCCAAGGATGCTCCTAGCCTCGTGCTTGCCTGTTCTCCTCATTGCCACACTGCTAGTGTACCAGGACAGGGCTATGCACAGAATAAACCCACATCTACACCTCGTGGACATCTCAGGCTCTTACTCACTTGGCAGTCCTGAGCTACAGGGCATTTATCCTGCTGCTCTTGCTTTGCAGAGAGACACAGCAGCTCTGAGGAGGTCTTTGGTGATGACCCATCAGATGTCAGCCCACTTCTGGCCATGGTCATGCCCAGCTACAACGTGCCTAGAAACACAGAGTCCAAAGCAGACTTTCCCTCTCCTTCCTGCCCAACAGCCTCACCCAAGGGCAGTTGGATATGGACATCTCATGGGTTTACTGAGCTGAATGGCACAAAWTGGGCAGCACAGCCCCTCTGGCAGGTACAGGGCTGCTCCATCAGAGGGACAGAGCATCTTCCATGGTTCCATTGGGGTCATGTTAAATTGAGAATCCCTCAGGCTCCTGGCTCACCCATTCCCTGCCACATTCCCAAGATTTTGCAATACACRAGCAACACGTTCATCCATGGCTCAGTGCCCTGGATCTGTTTGTCCAYGGACTACCGAGTCCTCAGACCACCAGGGAAAGGCAGGGACGTTGCAACACAGCCACTGTTTCTTGCTGCTCATCACTGCCCAGTAGCCAGCAGGGCTGGGGACCATTGCAGCCACTGGAGCAGGGAGCAAGAAAGCCACAGCCTGTGACAAAGTCACTGCAAACACTGAGTCCAAAGCTTCCCAGTGGAGAAGCATAGAGGAAAGATCCTGGTGACATAAGTAGTTTATTCCTTTGTATTTTTGACCTCTGGCAAGACTAGACACTTTTTGAACAAAGAAAACCTGGTGAAATGTAGACAAAATTGGAAAATAATTCCTTCTATCGAGGCTTTCCCTGTTATGAAAATGATCTTTGTTTTTAACCAGCAGAAGTCAGAGCCTGCCTTGACCACGGTCATGGTTTATGTAGCAGCATTACATTGCTGCTGCACAGACACCACTAGAAAACAGGGAGTATTTCTGGGGTCTGGCCCTTTTCAAGGAGCCCCCTCTCAAGTGCTCATCCCGCAGGAAGGCAGCCAGGGATACCCACCTCAGAGCACCTCTGACTGCACTGCGCAGAGCCAGGCCTGCCCGTGGACAGAAATGGGTCTGGCACCGCCACGCTCCTCGCCCTCTCCGAGCTGGGTGGTATTTGGAGCCGAGACGCTGCTTCAGGCCCAGAGCAGACAGCATGCACAGCCATGAAATCCGCATTTGGATCCAAAGCTGGAGTCTAAAGCCCTCCACGGTTTGAAGCGGGCTGGTTCAGGCTCATTTCTCGTCCCCAGACTGCAGCAGAAGGGCCTCTCTTCCCCAGGGCAGAAGCAGAGCAGCTGGTACTCTTCAGCCCAGTTAACAGACGAGGTCTGGCCACCGCAGCCGAGGGCTGCTCCAGATTTGTTTTCTAGTGGCTTATTCATTGAGAGRCTGCCAACGTGTGAGCAGAGAGAAATGCACACGGGCCTGATCCTCGCCGGCTCCAGCCGTGGCTTGCACCAGAGCAGGGCTGCCACAAGCTGCGGTTAAGCCCTGCCGAGTCGGGGCACAYGCCTGGCATTCTGCTGGGATCACACCGGGACAGGAAGCATCCAGGGCACGGCAGCACCAGGACAATGGGGATACATCTGGAGCGGCGACTGCAGCCATCCCTTCAGCAGGTCCCCGGCCCATTTGCACATTGAGCACCAAGGCACCTGGTGCCCACCACACTTACCCAGCTCAGAGCATTCGAGATGCGCCAAGAGGAGGACAGGGACACAGCCCAGCTTGAAGCAGGCAAACCAGCGCAGTTGCATGGTCCTCAACATCAACCAGCAAAGACAAGCCTGGTCCAAGGGTGCTTAAACACATGAGAAAAGGAACTGCCCAAGGCCTCGCAGGCAGTCAGCAAGGGAGGTGGCTGTGATGCACATCTAGGGCTGATGCTACTGCCAGCTCCCACTCACATGCATATGCCCCCATGCCCACAGAGAGCCCAAATCACCCCCTCAGTAGCMGAGTCACAGGCTGCCCCAAGGTCACACGCAGGGGAACAGGCAGCATCTTCCCGCCAGCACCTACAGCACAAGGCACCCTCCCAGGCACAACACGGCAGCCTAAGAAAGCCAGTGGCGAAGACACCACTGAAAAGAGCGTGAAGGCTGATTGCTGTAATTGAGCCTACCAGGGGAAATTCGGTCTGTGGGAACAGGCAGCACATCCCAGCCGCTGCAAATGGGGGGTGGAGAATATTCGAGCTGTTCCTTTCGAGGACTAATGATGATGGGTTTTTGCTAGGACTCAAGCTGGCACGGATGAGGACTCCTGCAGAGCGCGGAGTCAGCCAAATTAAGCACTGGTCCTTCCTTGGAGAAATCCAGTCTAGAGGAGTTAGTCACAGGATGCTGTCAGCTGGGTGCTGGCTATTTAGAGAAAGAGGCAGCAAGCAAGGAGCCCTGTGTCCTAGTTAGGATTCAGAAACTCCTCTGGTTTTACAACCTATGTTATCTAGACAGCAAGAAGCCAAGGCACCATGGCAAGGAGATGCAGGAGACATGGGGTAGGAGACGCTCAGGTATCTGTCATCACCTGGAAAGAAAGAGCAAATCTTGCACGGAATTAAGAGAAAAAATATGCAGTTCCACATGGGACAACGTAACATGTCCTGTCTCAAAGGTCCACAGCCTGAAAGATGAGCACGGCAATTGCATTGCTCTCTTATCTAATCTAGAAAAATATTACTAAAACATCTAACATGGCTGAGTACCAAAGCAATTCTTGGTAGTTGATTCCTGAAAGAAGGATGCAAAGAACATGTTGCTGGTACTTGTAGCTAATTGCTCCTTTTCTTTTGAGTCTACTTGATTTGAAATATTAAATGCAGAGGAAACATCTATTTTTCCTCCATAACCTGTCAGTAGAGGAACTGAAATATGTTCCCCCCCCCYTTTTTTTTTWATATAAACAAGAGGTATAAGCTATTTTATAGTAACTAGATAAAATTACACAATATTTTACTCAATGGAGAAAAACACAGATCTCCCTACGACGATATTTCTCCTTTCTTGCTGACTGTACATTAACGTGACTGCTCCACATAACTCAGCTTTGCAGAGCTGTCAGGGACATCTCCCAGCTCAGGCACCTCACGCCAGCCGGTTCCTCCCATTGCCTTCTCCCAGGGACGGGGACACACAGCGGCCGGCACAAGGAGGCTGTCCACCACATGACCAAACACTTGAGTTGCTCAGTTCGCTATATCCTTAGGTCCCTCAAGACTGACCCACTCAGAAACATGAGGATTTTTTTTTTTCCTACAGTGTGAAAAATCCTCAGGAAGAAGCCACCTTTCACTCTAGTCAAGCAGAGGTGCTAAGAGTAGGTTGGGATCKAACTGCAATTCTTTCCTATTCCTTCTACTTTTTGGTGTCATTTTTCCAACATCTCACTAACTTGGGGAAAAAACAGGCCATCAGTTTCATATTTAAGGCTGAATTCCCCAAGCAGCCTCTACTCAACGACACGCTCTAGCCCAGTGAGCATCAATTCAGTCCACAGTGTTGCTGGCTTATGTAGAGGAAGTCTGCCTTGCAGGAAGAGAAAAGTTGTATATTTTCCTGATCAACTTTTCTCCAGTACAGACGCACCCATAAACCTATAACTTTTTCGCTTTAAGGGATCAAATCCAAAAAGGAAAAAGACAACCCCCCCCCTTCCCCCATACACACAACCCCTCAGCAACACCAAGACTTGTTGTTGGAGGGCAGTTTACAGGTGCAGAGCTGAGACTCAAGAGGCCACCTGCCCTCGGGGACAGAAAAGCAGGGAATTTTCACAGCAAAGTTCCACAGACAAGAAAAAGAAAAAAAAAACTTCCCTCCTTCACTCTGAACCTGCTCTAAGGACAAGCCAGTATTTCAGAACCAAAATCTCTCCCCCACATTTTAGGCCTGTTCTGTTCAGCTGTTGTAAAATTCCAGCTTTTCATCTCCATTCCAAGCAAAAAATATACTCCCGAGATCAAGATTTAACACTATCAATTATCCCCTAGCAAATAACTGCCCCAGCAGAGAGCTCACCTTAGCACTGAGGTAGGAAAGACTGCATCTTCCAGGTGCATTTGTTAAGGTTTGTCCAAAGAGTCCAAACCAGCACGTGGCAGTGGCCACCCGCAGATCCAAGCACAGGAGCCCTTCCCACCGCTTGTCAGTCAGCGGGACAGAGCTGACAGCGCGGAGGCGGAAAACATGCAAACAGCTTTAGGTCTTTTTCCTGCAAAGCACCAAAACTCAACCTTTTCTAAGTGCTACAGCACAGAAGCTTTTTTTCTTTTCCCCCTCCCCATTATTATTAAAAGTCAGCTTAAACTGTCAGATGGASCAGCTTGTTGTTTTTAGCTTTAAAAAAAATGCGGATTTTCATTCAGATGTGAGCGGTCAGGATAAACCAAAGGGCCCCTCACGGTGAGTGCGAGAGAAGTGTGTTATTCAGTGAAAGAAAATAGCTGGTCACAAGCAGCAGTGAGGCGAGAACTCCACGTGACACTGGCTGTCCTTGTGTCCCCATCCCAGGCCACACTGAGCACCCTCACCTGCTACACCAAGGTGATCACATTGCAGCTGCAGCTGCTCGTGGAGAAACGAGGGACTCCTGTGATTGTTTTCCCTTCCCTCCCCCTGAAAGGAATGGAAAAACCAAGTTATTTTAGAAGTTTTCCCCTAGTTTCAGAGTGCAGAAGTGCGGGATGCTGGTGGCACGCCAGCGCAACGCTGCCTCGCCATGGCCCGTAGAGGGAGCTTCCCCTGACGGCCCGGCCCCCTTGGCATCCTTGGATCAAAAAGTGTGCAGCCTTAAAGAATAAAATAAAAATAAAGCACTCTGGACAATATGAAAACACTGACTTTTCAAGGTCTCCCCCCACACTTGCTCCCTCACGGGGAAATCAGAAGCCCTGGCTTAAAACAGCAGTGGGCAATGGCCTTTTTTAGGAAAAGGGGGAAATAGGAAGAATGTAGAGATAAAGCCTTTCCACAGTGCTGAGTGTCTGCAGCGGGCTTTTGGGGGTTGAACTGAGCCAGTTGCAAACAGATACTTTTCTTTTTAATTTTCCTGTAATGAAGAGCAGAGAGGSGGAAAAAAAGAAAAAGGAAGTAACCAATCTTCTCAATGAAAATAAGATTCTGCAGCCTGACACCGTTCATGTTTCTGCCTCCAATAAAGCGCTCCAGAGCCCTGGGCTACCACTCCAGCTCTGCACCATGAAACACCATGGCCATTTTCCCCCAGCGCTTGCCATTTAACTTTCCTGCAAACCGGAGCACGGCGCTGGTTTTCCTCGCAATTCCTCATTACCCTTCGGGCACGGCCACAGGATTCCCACAGCTCCCGGCGAACGTCCTTTTRATTCACTCCGCGGATGGCCAAATCAGCGGCGGAGTGAGTTATCACCTCGGGGAGAGCGGCCGCGCGGGCACCGGGTGGGCGCTGCGCAGCGCCCGCCGCACCCAGGGCGGCTGCTCCGCAAGGCCACAGCGGTCAGGTGGCCGGGAAGCGCAATTAAAACGGGGSAGAAGCGCAGATTAGCGCTGTTCTACACTTCCCTGATGGAAGGGAGGGGGAGAAGCGCCATAAAAACATGATCAAATCATTCGCGCTGCTGTTCCAACTTCTGGACGCGGCGCGAGATAAGACGCAGCTCCGCCCCGCAGCTGCGCTTGATTTACGGGGCTTGGAAACTCAATGTTCTCCCGGCAACAGGCGTAATTGGGGCCGGGTGAAAACTGCCTCGCTGGGCTCTGCCACGGTGCAGTCTCCTGCTCTCTGGCCAAGAGCAGAGACCCCTTCGGTCCAGTTCACCAGAAGTGGCTGAGATGTCTCCAGGCTTGGTGCACCACGAGAAGGGAGGGCCCCACATGCAGGACCATGCAAACACCCCAAGCCCCTGATGCAGCCAAAAGCTACAACCCTGCTGCATCCACGGGAGCAACAGGGTTGGAGACAAGTAAAATACTCATTTACTGACTAAACCCCCAAAAAATTGCATTTGTGCAAACACATTTCACCAATTCCTCTCTATTTCAGCATGCTTCAGAAGGATCAGGAGGATTTTTTCCTCTTCAAATTATCATCCCAGAGTTTGCAACTCCAGAAATTAACCACCCTCAGTACTGCACCAAAAACAGGTATTTTCATATGATTTTTTTTTTCGCTGCCTCCATTCTCCTCTAATGCGGCCAACACAAGCACAGACACCGTTCCCATGGTTGGGAATGTCTTGGCTTTGTGACAACTCTATGAGGTCCAGAGGAAAACAAGCTTACAGTCCACAGTTTTTGAATGACTTACCAGTTGAGGACACATCTCCTAGGTGTCACGAGCCTGCTGTTGGGATTTCTCCAAAGGGCGACTTGCTCCTCTTACCAAACCTGCATTTACAAGGCAGTATTTCCAACAGYTTCACTGGACTTGCTCCTGTTTTACATGACCATGAATGAGGATGTCTACGAGCCAGATTTTTCTTTCCCCTCAACTTTTTGCAATCTGAAAAGATAACATAACCTTCCATATTTCTGTGTGACCTTGAAGCAAGTTTTCACAGTTCAAGAACATTGTGTACAGAATATTAAGAATATTTTCTTGTACAAGCAGCAAACATTTCACCTTTAGTGTGCGTTGTAGTGGCCAACATTTGTCAAATGAGGAATGTGCAAATGGGAATATCTGATTTACCCTCTACATCCTGTTTGCTCACTGAGCAGACCTATCACATCTGTTCTCACATGCCCTTCTCTCAACACAACATCACCTTTCCCTTTTAGCCAGCCTCCCTCTAGGAAATCRTCCCTTCTTAAGTTCCCTTCCATCTCATTCTGCCCATCTAGGTGGGAGTAGCACCTCCTGGCAAGCATTTGCCCCAGGCAAAGCTTTTTCTGCAAAACTATCTCGAGTTTATCTGGGTTATTTTGGATTCTAGTTTTCTCTAAATGACTCTCTCTCCTAGGTAGGCATCATCTGGAAATATAAACCTAGTTTTCTTTCCCAACCCTGGGTCRTTAATAAGAACATGGAAAAAAGAATCCTTGGTACAGCAGGGAGATCTCTGGAGGGTGGATGCTTACTCAACACATCCTTTCAGTGTCACAGTAAACCACCAARAAATCCTCTTCAAGTTTGGATTTCTAGCTGTTTTCAAAGCCAAGGGCATCTAGACCACTCTGTCCTACCCTCTAACTCTTCAGTCAGCTCAGGGCCCACAGCTTCTGGTGTTTCCCTTCTCATTTCAAGGCCTGCTGCACCATAGCAGAAGGAGATCCTACCTCATGGATACAATTTGTTTGGAGATACCTATGTAGGCTGTTCTCATTCCCTTGTTTTCTCCTGGGTATCCACAAGCTTCACTAACGGTCCCASTGTCTTTCCAGGACTTGCATGTGCGAATACATAACGTATCTAAGCCATGTCTGAACAATGTCTTCCAATGTTGAGTCTTATCCTTTGTCGCTGCCATTAACCAGGATCCCAACTGACCTTCTAAGGGAAGACAAAGATGCAAAAGGCACCAACCTTCTAAGGGAAGACAAAGATGCAAAAGGCACCAAGCGCTTCCTCGGCATCATCTGCTGCTCTCTTTCCTGCTCCCAAAGCGCCAAACTGCCACTTTGGCGGTCGCCCTGCTACCGCTGGGGCGCTTCTGGAGCCATCTCTCGTTACACTTGATGTCCCTTGCTAATTGCATCTCCCCATGTGCCTTGGCTTTTCTGATCTTGTCTCTGCATGCACATGCTGTACTTCTGTACTTGATTTTAATGACCTGACCTACTTTTTCTTTCCTCTAGGTTTCTTTCTCAGGTTTTACACGCACACTCCTTTCTATCTTCCTCTTAGCTCGCTGCAGTTTGAGCTGTACCTGCAAACAATTTTGTCTGGCTCTCTTTAGCAACTTCTCCCTGATAACAGCTTCCCGGGGTAGAAGGGAATCTATCCTGTGCATGATCTAACAGGGCTGGAATCCTGACTCCACAGATAAGTCCACAGCTGATCTGTGTCCCTCCTACTCCAGGCAGCAGGAGCTCAGTCATTCTCTGGTGTCTCTAGAACAGGTCATCTCCTACCTCCATGTTCCCAGCCAGACTCTCCCACTGGGGGTTARATCAGGTCGGAAACAACCTGTGATAATTGCTGTGGTGTCACCCCTTTTAGGCACAGCCAAATCCCACACATCTTCTTGCCCTTCAAAGACACAAAGTTTTCCCCTAAATCCCCTTCCTAACTTCCTGGCTCCAGCTATCTCCSTTTAACGCTCTAGAATATGACTTATTGTCCTAGTTGAACTTCATTGCTTTGTTAGAAGCCAAAGCCCCCAGCTTCCCCATTCATCTTACATTCAGCCATCTGATGCAACAGCCTCCTGTACTCTTTCTTAGCCCACCCTTCCCCTTGCCCCCCTTGCTTTGAATACAGGGGGTCAAGCTACACAACCACCACTTCTTTCTTCCAACCTTAATATCCACAATTCTCCAAGGGCACAAGAAGGAGCTCCATTAGTTTCAGCAGGCTCTGCACCAAGGCCATGAACTGTCGAGGCTGCCAGATCAAGTTAGGAGATGGCTCTTAGCAGTCAGGTACCTGATGCTTCCTCTGCTAACATGGATCAGGATCCATACCCCGGAGCAGAAAGCACCCAGACCAGGAGACTATGCTGTTTTAGATTTGCTCTGAAAAACAAATAAAGAATAATAATAAAAATAAAATCCTTTTCAGCTTCACCAGTACCTGTAGGGACAAGTATACCTAAGCCAAGGGGCAGGAAAAGGAGAATCATCATCTAATGACACTAGTTTAAACCAGTGCTTATACCAGGAAGATTTACCTTTAAAGACAGGCTCTTGATAGCACTCAGAACTGAATCCCCAGCCTTAAGTGTATGTGGTTTAATTACTGCAGCTTTGTTAAATCAGCTTAGTTAAGCCCCTGTGTAATTGCTTTCTTCTGGGCTCAACGCTGGTTTATTTGAGGATAGCTCAAACTGATGCTCAAACGACTTGCAGCTGCTCTTCTGCTGTTTACATCCCCTCATTTAAATCAGTTTAAATCCACACCTTTTGATAAAGCACTTTCATAGAAGCGAGGCCTCGGGCCTTGTTCTGCTTGCTGCTGACATGCTATAAAACACTTCTTTTTTTGCTTTAAATACACAAGACCCAAGAGCCCCCCTGTGCTGTAGCCATGCCCTGGACACCCAGCTTTCCCCTCCAACCTAGAGAAACAGCACCTATGGACGGGCCCGGGGCACGAGGCCGCGTCCAGGGCTGCCCCGCAGGAAGCGCAGAGGCCTCGTGCAGTGGAGCCCATGGAGCCGCGTCCCCTCGTCCCAATGGGGACACGGGGCCTCCATCCTCGCATCCCCGTGCTCTGCAGCCCCAGCGGTTGCCACGGTTACGGGCAAACCCTGGCCTTTCGGCAGGGGACGGAGCGGGGCAGCGGGGGGACGGGGAAGAGGGGCGGCAAATGGAGCGGCCTCGGCCCAAGGCGGCCTCGTGGGCCTGTCTGCACGGAGCTGACAAGATGACGAGGTGCCAACGCACCGGGCTGCTCAGGGGGCGTTTTTACGGCAGCTCTGCCTCGCGCACRTTTTTATTGCAAAGAGGGTAATCGGGCCTCTTCATTATTGAAAACATATTTACTACCCCTTGGCCGCTCTCTCCCATTTTTGCCAGCCCCTTCCTTCCCCCCTTAACTACCCTGTCCTCCACGAGATATGATCTCATAAATTTACAGTATACTTGCTGTCTGCAAAGTGGATGTTCAGTTTCATTTTTATTGGACTTTATGATACAGGAGGATTGCATTTTATTTGTTACACTGCTACCAGAAGGCCCCAAAACGTAGGCCTTTCCCAGGAAAATGCCAGCCACGGTGGGGCCTTGGTGCAAGAAGGGGCCAGGGGACACGCGCCATGCTTGTGGCAGTGCCCACGGAGCTGGGGCCACCTGCAGTCTCCCCATGAGCAAGAGGCTGGCTGCGAGCAAGGGCAGGTAGTGCTCGGCGTGGGCAATGGGGCCCTACCTTCCTCCTCTGCTGGAGGGGAAGCTGCTCTCTCCATCAGCCGTCTGCTCCAGCACTCCGTGGTCCTCCCGGTTCCACCCAGGTGGGAAAGGGGTTGACGCTGGGCCACTCTTTGGTAAAGACAGCTTGGCTGACAAGGGATACACAGCACAAGCATCGCCCACTGCTTCCTCGTGCTCAACACCCTGCCCCAAAGCCGCCTTTCCCCAGGCTTTCTGCCACGGGAAGGCTGGACAGGCATGCCCAGGTATGCCCACAGCCCAACTTAACACCCCTCTGCATGTGCAGCCTTCCAGCATAAAGGGGAAAGGAATAAAACTTTTCCCCACAGAGGGAATAAAACTTCAGCGGCTCCCGCAAGGCCCAGTGCTGCCCTTAGCATAACACTCATTGCTTCAACAAAATTGCTAGGAAATGAAAGCAATTAGTGTCATAACAAGGAGGTCAGAATCCAGCCTTATCTGGGAAGATGCCTATCGCATTCGGTGGATTCCTCCAGACCTGTCCTAGCGCAGTAGAATAAAACCTCAGCCTCCCAACGAATGACTCCAGCTCTGACGTGTTGAACACGCACAGCTCCTACCCCGTACCCACCACACGGGCAAAACTCCCACCAATGCTCAATGCCTCTGGCCTGGAGTCCTGCACCACAGGCAGCGATGGGGAGAAATCCAGGCTCCTACACACCAGTCAGCTCCCAAGTGACCACCAAGGCAGCAGCCTCAGTGAGGACCGGTGTCACCTTCTGATGACGGGGTAGCACGAGGGCAGGAGGAATTCGTTAGCATGCAGTGGGCCATGTGCTCTCAATGGGCATCTGTGGCTRGTGCAGGGACTTCTCACTTCTTTGCAAAACCCTATTTTTTTTCTCTCTCTCATGGGAATAGGCTTTGCGACCCTTTCTGCAACTGTGTCCAGAACCAGCAGTCCAGAGATTTTGGGAGCCCAACTCGTTTTGTATCAACCTCATCACGGCCCAGTGCAGCGCAAATAATCAACCTGGGTCATTTCAATTACAAAATAAGGGAAGGTTGTTATTTTTTTTTTTCTTTTTCCCCAAGGTAACAGGGAGAGGCCAAGCAAAGCACCGCAAAGCAACATAAATGATTTAGGACCCAACCATTTTGCCAGGGAAACGTTAAAGACAGAGTCTAATCCTTTCATCTAACCCTGGTCCTTCTAAAAGCTTTAGCTAGGAGTTGACTCAGCATGTCAGTGCCAAAAAGATCCATTGACCTCGAGTTCAGTGCTGAGAAATTGAGAAATGTTCTTTTTAATGTCTATTCAATAAATACAGCATCACCCTCTCCGTGGGCTGAGCAATCCACTTCAAATCCATTACGGCACGTTCTCATAGACTGACAAGTTGTCCTGAGACAATAGTGGCTGCGAGATGAGGTTAACCCTTGCCGAGGGGGTGTAAATCTCTGTAGCCACAACCCTTTTGCTCTCCAAAGTCCTTGAAAAGAGGGGAGGGGGTATCTGAATTGATGGCAATCCACTGCTGTGCGCGCTCTTTCCTGGACCAAGGTGAGCTGCGTCTGTAAAAAATATGCCCAGTCAACACGGCCAGGCTTGAGCCCCTCTTGGCAGGCAGGAGGCAAGCACTGCTCCTTTCCCTTTCCCTTTCCCTTTCCCTGGGGGCATTTTTGCTCCCCGAGCGCTTACGGTCTCAAAGCCGCTCACCCTGCTCCAGGGGCAGCAGCACGTTGGCTCTGTGGTGGGACGGGCACAGGGTGAATGGTGGCTTTGCCAGGGGAAAGGTGCATTAAACTGGGGCCAGGCTGGAGAGCTCTGGTGCAGCGTGACTGGTGTGAGCTCCACAGCCAGCTTCCATGGGCAAATCCAGGATGCATCCCTGCATCCCAGCCTGGCCACGCACTCGGAAACATCAAGCTCATGGGAACAAAAACACAGTAGGCAAAGCAGTCATGCAACTCGCAAAGCAACGTGGCCACCAAAGTCCAACCACCCCAAACAGCGACATGCAGCCTCTCCTGCCTGCAAAATACATCTAAGCCTCGTGACCTCTCCAGGGACAGCCTTGCACAGTGTCCAAAGCCAAGCATGCAGCTGCCCTCTGCTTTAAGCTTTCTGCCACGGTGCATGACCCTGCAAGGAGCTGCAGCAATGCGACCACAGAGCTTTACCCACCCTCATGTCATTACAGACCTATCCAAGGCAAGGCTGCCTCGGCCACACGCTTCTCACTTCCCGCTAGTTCCCGAGTTCCCCTGAGGCTGCCCAGCCAGCAGTTCCCCTCAACTGTCTCTAGATACTTTACACAGGCTGTCCTGGCTGTCTCTGATTCTTCCATGATCGGTGGAGTCTGGCCCAAGCAGAGGGCTGCCAGATTATCCTAAGGTCATAGATCCAAGCTGCATGGCCTGAATGGGTTTAAGGACTTTAAGCTCCCCTACACCAGGTGCAGAAGGCATCACCTGGTCGGTTTAGGCGACCAGACGTCAAGCATGAGGAGAGAGGAGTGTCTGCATAGCCCTGGTGGGACTCTGCTGCCAGCTGGAACATCATTCTGATGAAAAGTCCCAGACAACCACAGCCTCCAGCAGCAAGTCGTTAATGAAAAATATTGTCTTAATAATCATAATAACACAATAATTCTAAAAGGTGCACGGGTGCGCACTCAATCTACATGAAATTGGAGCAGGGACAGCAGGGGAGCCCTACGTCTTCCATTTTATATTCAGCTGTAGGTATTTTATAGTTTCCCTCCACTCCCCCCTTTTTGAAACTGCTGAGCTTTGACTGAGGGAAGTGCAACCACTTTGGGGCTCTTTGGAGGCGGGAAGGGGAGGGCAGGGCAGTCCTGGAGGGCACGTGGGACCTGGATCTGTGGGTCACCCGCAGCTGGATGCATCTGCGGGGACTGTCAGCAAGGCAGCAGCCGCCCAGGCCTTGACGTGGCATTTTGGGGCTTCTCAGACACACTGAGGTGGAGGAGCTTGCATGAGGCGATATTTTAGGCTCCGTGCTGACTCAAGCAAGCCATCCTGCGTCATGTTTATCTGGGTCGCGTTTACGAATTCTCTTTTCAGTTTTATAGGCGAGAAGGTTCTATTTTTTCCTATCCTGCCTTGCTTCCATGTGCCAGCCAAAGGCCTGAACGCGGACGACTTTGCTAAGACCAGTGGTGTACAGAGCGCTCAGCCACGGGCTCACACGGGCAATGACTGTTTGCCACATAACTAGAACACGAACACAGCAATGTCTATCTCTGGGTAGACTCTAAGAACTTGAGACACCATCTCCCACTCACGCACGGAGTCTTTTAAGATGCACAGCTCTGCTGTAAATCAACAAATAGCTTTTCTTTATGGAAATAAACCCATAGCTCATAGAAAAATAAAAACATAAAGTGTGAAAAAACTCAAATGGTTGTATCCAAAAGTCTGAAAATGCACAAAAAGCCACCTCCTGCACCTCCTCAGTGTCCTTGTGAGTTAGAGCCTGTCTTTGGAAACCTCCAAAGTCCCCTGTGTGGGAGTGCAGAGCACAATATCCCTGAACTTGGCCTCACGGACAGCGCTCTGCACTGGCTCGGCTGTGGGGCTCATTTTCTGTGCCCCAGGCTTGGAAGTCTCCACCAAGACATCTGATGGTGCCACTAATTACTGGCTGAGCTGACAGT